GCCATTTTTACCCTTGAATCACCTTCAACCTCCGGTTTTTGCACCTAGGGCTCGCATTTGCTTGGATTTGAGGCGATTTTAAGGCAAAGGAACTTCGGATTTCATCTTCTCTATGTAAGAGCTACACTTTATATTAAAAAATTTTGATTTTTACCAAAGATTTATCTCACATTGCCGAGATCTGAAAATTTTGAAATTTTTTGAGAGATTTTGAGAAAATCCTTTGGTGAAGAACTCTTACTTAATAGATTTAAGTTTAAAGCGTTTTACATTGTGATTTTTGAAATTCTTGGAATTTATTTGGATTTTTAGCAAAGTTTCTTAGATTTCCCATGGCACCAAGAACGAGCAAAGAAAAAAGGAAAAGTAGACTATGATGAACAAAAATTTTTAGCTTCAGGGCTAGTACTCAATTCAATAGTCTACTTGTGCATAAAAAAGTAATTCCGGATCGTGGATTTAAAAATCCAGGAGGAGAAGTCGAGCGATTAATCTATGCTCGGCAGTGGGAAAATTTCTGTTATTTTACTGTTGATGTTATTATTGGTGTAGTGATGGAATTCTATGCCAACTTTACGGAGGCGTCTGATGATGTTGTTTTTGTTCGTGGGAGAAAGGAGGAGTTTTCTCCAAGAAAAATTAAGGAGTTTTATCAGTTTGAAGATGTTTAGAGTTGCAAAAATTAAGGAGTTTTATCAGTTGGAAGATGTTTAGAGTTGTTGTTTAGAGTTGCCGATATAAATCATTTATCTGCTACAAAGGAGGCCTTAGATGAGGTTATTTCTTTTCTTACTGATGGAAAAGGGAGCTGGCTGACTAATGGAAAAGAGGCCTGGAAAGTCAAAACTGGTGTTAAGTTAAAATTTCCTCTTTATATGCTTAATGTAATATCTAAGGCCTCACACTATATTTCTGGAAGAATGATTCCGAAAAATCATCAAAGTGAGGTGACCAAGGATAGAGCTATCCTGAACTTCTGTATTCAGCAAATGATGGACATAAATGTAGGTTCTATAATTTATATGAACACTAGATATATTACTTTGGTAGAGACCTCTAGTGGTTTGGCATACCCTGCACTTATTTTTACACTATGCGAACAGGCATGACTTGATTTTAGACCTGTAGAAGAGAGGATTGAGCCTCTAAAATTTATTGGGCATGCCAATATAAGGATATATGATTCTCATGTTGGATGGAGGTTTGGAAGTAAGACCAGAGATATTCCTTCTAGTTCAAGGGCCCCTACTTCTAGTGACCTTACTAATCAAAAACTTTTGGACTAGATGATGATCCAGTAGGGAGATATCTTAAGAATGGATCATAGAATGCAAAACATGGATGCCAGAAATGCTCACACTAATTATTTAATTCGGCAAAAGTTTGAATATGATGATGCTATGGTGAGATACATGAAGGGTTATCATTCAGTTCAGTTTTCTACTCACTCTGTTTTTACTCCATATCAGTGACATAATTTGAATGTGGAAGAAGAAGAAGATGATGATGATGATTGGTGATCTTTCTTTTAGTGTATGTTTGATTATACTTTGTTATTGTGTTGTGTGTTTTTGTTATATTGTTGAAACTGTTTGTTAGATTGTGAGACTCTATTTTGTTGTTATGTTGAGTTGTGAACTGTAGTTTGTAAAACTGTTTTCATTTCTGGATTCAGTTTAATTATATTGTTAATGTTTTTGTATTTTGTTAAATGTATTGTAATTAACTCTTTCTCAGCAAATTTTATATATATTATGTGCAATTTAATGTTTTAAGTTATGTAGCTTTTTATATTAACACTTGCAGTATTTCTGAATTAAATTTCAAAATCAGAACCTTCAATAGGTTCTTTTCTTTATGTAGTTAATGTTTTCTTTCACCCTTTATTTTTTCAGTTTTTCATGCTAAATCTTTTAAAAATTTAAGTTTGCGGGGGAAAGAAAAATTCTTTTTTAAAGAAAGAAGCCTAATTTTATTTGTCCTCGCTTAGCTATATTTTAAAAAAAATTTAAAATTTAAAATGACATTTGGTATTAGGGGTTATCTTTAAATAACTATATTTATGTTTCTAAATATATAGTAAACTTAAGTTAAAATTTTCAATAATAAAGGTTAATTGTGACAAGTTTTTGACTTTAAGAAGAGGATAGTGAAGTTCAAAATCATTAAAAGCTATCCAGATATAGTAATCATCACATAAAAAAAACAAAATAAAATAAAATAAAATAAGAAGAGTAAGTTAAAATTTTCAATAATAAAGGTTAATTGTGACAAGTTTTTGACTTTAAGAAGAGGATAGTGAAGTTCAAAATCATTAAAAGTTATCCAGATATAGTAATCATCACATAAAAAAAACAAAATAAAATAAAATAAAAAAAGAAGAGAAAAAAAGAAAAGAAAAGAATAAAGGAAAAGAAAAAAAAAAGAAAAGATGTGGGGAGAAGCTTGAGAAGATGCCTAATTAAAAATTGGCTTCACTTGAATCAATTTAAGGAAGAAGATTTGGTTGCATTTTCTAAACTTTTATTTGAGTACTAGTTTATTTACTAGTAAAATTTTATGAAGTTATTTTTCATATGAATACTTTAAGTGGCTTTAATATACAATTTGCAATTTTTCTTGAAAAGAATAGAGAATCAGAAATCTTGAACTTGATTGCTAAGTATTCTTATACATTTAGTATTAACTGGAGTTATTTTAAATTTTTTTCAAGTTTGGTTATTGTATTTAGTGGACTAAGATATGAAAATCTAG